AAGTCTCTCTACAAAAAAACTCACCGGAAAATTCTTCGTAGCTTCTTCCTCTGGAATCTCTGATTCTCCACGCTTTTTAGAATCTTTTTCATTGAGATTCAAAGGGTCTTTGCGTTTCTTGAAGATTGATCTCTCTGACCAGTTTTGATCGAACAGTTTCAACAACTCCTCTCCAGCCATTTTTGCTTTTTTTTTTCTTTTTCTTACTTTTTCTGTGTTTGGAGAAGAAGATTATGAATGAAGAAAATGGGAGGATTAGGTATTTAAACCTTGTATGTAATTAGCTATGTGTATAATTACCTTAATACCCTTAGCTTTAGAATATTCGTACGTGTGGACCCGTTTGTTCATCAACACACTAATCACACTACTAACAGTGCGTCTTAAAATTCAAATGGCTAAAGTCAGAACTCATTACACCATTATACATTTGTTAATTAATTAAATCGTATTTTCCGTTACACAATTCAAATTGGTCATAAGAATATAATACATTTTTCATTTTGATGCGTACACTTTAAAGTCTATGATGTATTCAAATTTTATTAAATATTTCATTTTGTAGACTTTATGTCTTTATATAGACACATCAGTTTTGGCTCTTGGAAAGTTCGAATACCTTAAGATGCGTGTGACGCGGCAGGGAGCGTGACAAAAAGAAATGTGTATAAACAAACAAAAAGCACATTAGAAACTCGTTATAATATTTGACAATTATTTTTTTCATATTTAACATGAGGTAAGACTTTTCCATCTTATACCTAAAAATGACTAGCCTCTCCACCTTATATAAGTTTAAATATCAACCCCGAAACCAAACAAAATATAGAGTTGTTGATTAGTCATATAGATATCATTTGATTCGAAAAATAGATATCATGAAAAAGAACCACGATCTATATTATGTTCTGTAGATCGTAACTATATGCATGCTTCGCACCCGGAAATTAACTTCGAATATTAAAAAAAATTCAAATATTCGCATACCCGATCCATAAAGAGAAAACTGAAAAACGTTATTCTTTTTAACAAATGAAAGAAAGATTTTATGCAATACGTACGCAAATTAAGTGAAGAGAGTGTTCTTTGAATTGTGCGGCCATGTTTGAGTGCGAGACGAATGTTCGATTTTAGGGAGATTCCCTAATTATTCGAGATGGTACCAAAAAAGAAAAAGAAGATGATAAAGTTGATTATATGATTCATTAATATTTACCAAAAGTATTGAATATTATTGAGATTAAATCACTATAGTATTTTATAAGTGTAAGCGCCACAAACTATATATTGTACCACCCTCGGAGCCTAGTAAAGCTTAAAAATAATTGTATTTTTCCAATTTAAAATTATAGCTTCGACTTGTTATACATACATTCTAAATGCAATGTAATAAAATCTGATGTTAGAGCAAAAACCATTCAAACAAAAAAAAATTACTAATAACCAAATCTAAAAAACGAAACCTCAATTAGCTAAAAACCTTACTCTACCA